GTGCGTGCGTGCGTGCGTGCGTGCTGTGTGTGTACATATGCATATTCGGTAAAGTAACTAGGCATGGGGTGAGGCCAAGTGGGAGAGTTTTATAAGGTGTAGCAGGAACTCACAACTAAACATAAAACGCTAAAGGTACAGAGCCCGCAACCTTACACAAGCCCGTCCGCGACCTTACAGCAAGCCCGTCCTATACGGCTTAGGGTCTTGAAAAGACTGTGCCAAGACTCTTACAACTGCAAGGCTTGACAAGGTTATGTAGCTGCCAGACCGGATCCAGGCAGGATTTGAATACATAGTCCATCATTGCGGCATTTTAGGACTGCGGGTTCAGGGATTGCGAGTGGTAAGGTTTAGGGCCGTTTAGAGAGGATTTCAGGTTGAAGAAGCAGATGTGCTGTACCGTCAAAGGGTTCAGCGCTTTGGGATTTCAAGCTTGAGAAGGCTTCAAGGTTTAGGGTTTCTAGCCTCTAGACTTGTAGTCTACATGACTGGGGAGCTGCAAACCGAGGGCTCCAAGCCATGTAGCTAGACCCTTAACTTTTCGTCTGCTGCCCATTTCGAAAACCAGCCAAGCCTGCTGCCACTGCTCACCTGGGGCTCAGGCCTTACACCCTACCTACCCTAAGCCAGTAAGCCTTACCTGAGCATCCCCAAAGCCCTACTGCGTTTAAAGGTTAGGCCCCATAATTAAGTGGTCATAACCCCCNNCTAAACCCTAAACCCTGCTTGGGGATACAGGTAAGCCTTATAAACCCGAAAGCAGGAGCCATAAGCCCATCAACCCTAAAGCTGCACACCCCAAAGCCGGCAACCCTAAACCCCGTGGGTTGATGGTGTTGAGGACGTAATGTAGGGGCCTTAACAATTAAAATAGGGTTCTGGGTTCTTTTATAGTATCGTTATAATAGGGAACCCCCAAAATAGTATAGGCAATTGTTTAAGCCCCTATTGTAAGCCCCTCACGCCCCTATCGAATGCGGGAGCCCGGTTTGGTAATGATAGAGGGACAATGCCAAGCTCTTTGAACCAAACCTCAACTTGAGCAAATCTCTTTAGAGTTTAGGGTTTAGGAGTTTAGGATTTAGAGTAAGTTCGTCGCTCTCATAAACAAGACTCTGAAGCGGACGCCTCATTTAGAGAAGGATCCACACGTCCATACCCTGCACCAAATTGGTGCAGGGGTATGGACATGTGGATCCTGTGCCAAAACAACTCCCAGAAATAAATTATTCTCGAGCCTCACTCCCCAACCCCAAAATGATCCTAGACCTCAAGCTTTACTAATCGGCTGGAACCTTTAACCGTGGCCCAACACCCGCTCTCCAACAAGTAAGACTAAACCCTGTGTTACAGTACAACGAAAACGATTACCTGGTCCCCCAACCTGTATATCTAAGACTGTAAGACATTCGCCTATGGCGTAACTAAAGCCTAAAGCCTAAACCTCACAATCCAAAACTCTCAACCCCAAACCCTAAAACCCAAACCCCCTGAACCCTAAACCCCTGAACCCTATGCCTGTACCCTAAACCCGGAATCCTCAAACCCTAAACCCGAAACCCCTGAACCCTAAACCCGGGAATCCTAAAACCCTAAACCCTTAAATCCCGCCTCCAAAAAACATCCAAGTTGCATTTCTCGCATGCGCTCATTGCGGTGCCGAAGGTCACAGCTGTGG